CGGAGCCGGAGCCGCAGCCGCGCGTCCTTCCGCCGAGGCTGCCTCCCTGGGCGAGGCGCGCCCGCCCGCCCGCCTCGGAGCGCGGGATGCCGCCCGGCTTCGGATCGCCTCTTCGGCGCGCTCTGCGGCGGCGGCGGCGGCGGGGGCGCAACGGGAACGGGCGCTGCGGCAGTGCTGCGGGCGGTCGCCGGCGCGGCTCACGTTTCCTCCCGTCAGCGGCGGCGGCGGCGGCAGCGCCTGCCTCGCTCGCCCGCTCCCTGCCCGCCCGCTCGCCCGCCCGCCTGCCGGCTGCTGGCCGGCCTTAGCGCCCGCCGTCTGCTCCTGCTCCAGCCGCCGCCGCCGCGCCCCCGGCCCCCGCAGCAGCCTGGCCTCCCCCCGCCTCGCCCGCCCAGGTCCTGCCGAGCGGCCGGGGCCACCCTCCGCAGCCCCCTCCTGCGCGCCGCCGCTGCAACTGCCCCGTGAGGTCGGCCAGGCGGAGGGCAGCCCGAGCCCTTCTGCTCCCACCTGCCCCTCGAGGAAGCAGCCGCGCTGCGGGGCGCGGGGGGGCGCGGGGGCACCCCCTCGGTAGTCCTGCGCGCTGTGCCTGCCGGTGTCGGGCACCGGGTGAGAGAGGCCTCTGCCCGCTCCCCTCGGTGGGTGACCCCCGTTTCTGCAGGAGCCGCTGCCCAGTTCCTTCCCTCCGTCCCTCGCACTCTCCCGGGACCCCTGCAGAGGGAGGAAGCCCTAACCCTAACCCCTCGCCCAGCCTGAGCCTCTGGGGCAACGTGGGGGCAGGCCGGCTTCCTGCAACCGGGATGAACCCCCCCCCCGCCGCCCCGCACACGCATGCGGAGTTGCTCTGGCCTCCAGCACGGCCTGCTGCGGCTCGGGGGCTCTCCGGAGAAGGGGGGGAGGCAGCCCCTCCCCAACGCGCTCCTTTTCCGCGGCCCAGAGCCTGAAGCAACCCCGTGGAAACAGCCGAGACACTGCTGGAAGCCGTAGGATCCCCGCTGCCGAGTGGGCTTGGTGGCGCTGGCCGCGTGTGCCCTTTCTTCTCCAGGGCAGGGCTGGGGGCTCCGGACCACCGCTGCCCTCCCCTCGCCCCCACCGGCTGGAGCTGGCCCAGCATCAGGATCCTTTGGTTCAGCCCCTCCTTCCTTCCGGCTTTTCTACACCAGCTAATTTGTGGCACAGGATGGAACCGCTGCTTTTTAAAAACTCTGTCTGACTTACGCCTTAACACGGCACCACTTGGCTGAGAAAGAGCAATTTTGGCATTTTTATTTTCTTCTTGGCTGTGCCTTGAGACGAGCGCGAGGGCAGCTGCCTGCTCCTTATCTTGGCCGGGGTGGAACCCGTTGCCCCAGCGGATCACGCACTGGAAAGAATGCGCAGGGTTGCCGAGTCTGGGGAAGTGGTGGAAAGAACTCGGCACTGTCTCAGCTGCGGCTCAGCAAGTGTGTTCTTTTCCATCGTGTGTCCATGCATTCTGGGTGAGAAGCCCCCGAACATGCTGGACTGGTTTTCAGGCCCCAGGATCTATCACCAAGAGCACAGATAAGCCGCGAAGTGCCCCTGCGCTGGGACAGAGTGCCTTTCTTTTCCTGGCGCCTCCACAAGCGGATTTCTCAAAGGGGGGGGGCTTTGAGATCTAGGGGCCTCTCACACAGCAGCGGTGGGGCCCGCCAGATGTTGAACCACAGCAGCGCCAGCCCCTCCAGCGCTGCGTTGCCAACAGCGGGCACTGGCCTCCCCTGTTTCCAGAAGGAGCTTTACATCAGGACTGCAACACAGCTTGGTCCGGTCCGGAGAGCTGCAAAAGAAGCCATGTCCTGTCACCCAGAGGAGGGCTGGGCCTTCCTCTCCATCCCCCTCGGAGTGCAGGACAGACGGTTGCCCCTTCAGGAGGGCTCCTCGCATCAGCAGAAGAGACTGGAGAAACTCCTGAAATACTAACATTAACTAAGACTGCTACTATTTGCTCAGTAGTAATATGAGAACTGAAGTGAAGGCATCCCCGAAAGCACCGG